TCCACCTTGGGTACTCCCAATTCTCGTCCTGCTTCAGTTATCAACTCCACCACATGCCGATCAAAATCTCCAAACTCATTTAAGCTTACATAACCTTTGGGGTCATTCGGATTTCCCTGAAGAGTGGTGGACTTTTGAAAATAGGGCCACACCTCGTCATAACACCAACCCTCACTGCCATCCTTACACCATCTGTCATATTCCGCTCGATTACCTCTGACATACAGCATGGCATTAATGGCTCCGCTGCCTCCCAGCATTTTTCCCCTAGGCCAGTGGCAGCGTTCATTTTTAAAGGCCTTGCAGGCACGGCCATTTGGTTCGGGGAAATAGGCAAAACTGGAATTGGTAAATTGCACTCCGAAGAACATCGCGGGGATCTGCAAAGAAAAAATTAATTAAGTCACCTCTTTTTCACTCATTATTCCCTTCCAAACATACCTCCGATTCCGGTGGCGGATCCCCACCAGCCTCCAACACCAAAACTTTAAACTCTGGATTCTCACTTAGTCTACTGGCCACCACAGATCCAGCCGAACCGGCACCAATCACCACAAAATCATAATCCTCCAGGCCTCGTCTTAAAGCCTCTTCCGCATAATCCTCTGGCCAGTCATCCCGTTTGGAAATCTCACACTGAGCTGATAAAATTCCCTCCACCAATAGTGACACCAAAGCATTCAATGTACCCAGGCTGGGATTTGAACATTGCGTCGCAAATAAACCTCCCGTTTGTAGATCGTTAATCGACATCTTTACCCTGCGCCATGTAATGAATAACTGAAGTCTCTCGCGGAAAACAAAATTCTATAATTCCGATTACATTAAGTGCAGCAGATGCGTGAAGCAGAAGCAGCAACAGCGAAGCAGAGCCGACACTGAATCAACATTCGAAGATACACTCAAGAAAAAAAATCGGCGGAATTCTTATCTACCAATTCACACACAACTAACTACCTGGCTTCAGGTTATCAGATCAACCTAATTAGCTACCTAGCTCAGGATTGCTTACATAGTAAGCAGTAAGGTGTTAGGGTCTAAGCTTAGGTGTGAATATTTTTTCGGAGCCCACATACAGACCTGGATTTTTTAAAAATATTTTCCAGGGACTATACATAGGCCTCGATAGACGTGGATTTTTTAAACATATTTTCCAAAGCCTACAACTAAGCGTGGCTTTTTTAAAAATAGTTTTTTATGGCCTATAAATAGGGGTCGTCTATCCATAGGCGTGGATTTTTTAAAAATAGTTTTTCATGACCTAAAAATAGGGGTCGTCTATCCATAGGCGTGGATTTTTTAAAATAGTTTTCAAGGTCTAACCTTAGGCGTGGATTTTTTAAACTTGATTTTTGTGGAGTCTAACCTTAGGCGTGGATTTTTTAAACTTGATTTTTGTGGAGTCTAACCTTAGGCGCGGATTTTTTAAAATTCATTTTTTGGAGTCTAACCTTGGGCGTGGATTTTTTAAACTTCATTTTTTGGAGTCTAACCTTGGGCGTGGATTTTTTAAACTTCATTTTTTGGAGTCTAACCTTAGGCGTGGATTTTTTAAACATCATTTTTTGGAGTCTAACCTTAGGCGTGGATTTTTTAAAATTAATTTTTCAAGGTCTAACCTTAGGCGTGGATTTTTTAAAATTAATTTTTCAAGGTCTAACCTTAGGCGTGGATTTTTTAAAATTATTTTTTCAGGGTCTAACCTTAGGCGTGGATTTTTTAAAATTAATTTTTCAAGGTCTAACCTTAGGCGTGGATTTTTTAAAATTAATTTTTCAAGGTCTAACCTTAGGCGTGGATTTTTTAAACTTCATTTTTTGGAGTCTAACCTTAGGCGTGGATTTTTTAAACTTCCTTTTTTGGAGTCTAACCTTAGGCGTGGATTTTTTACACTTCATTTTTTGGAGTCTAACCTTAGGCGTGGATTTTTTAAACTTCATTTTTTGGAGTCTAACCTTAGGCGTGGATTTTTTAAAATTAATTTTTCAAGGTCCAAAGCCTACAACTAAGCGTGGCTTTTTTAAAAATAGTTTTTTATGGCCTATAAATAGGGGTCGTCTATCCATAGGCGTGGATTTTTTAAAAATAGTTTTTCATGACCTAAACATAGGGGTCGTCTATCCATAGGCGTGGATTTTTTAAAAATAGTTTTTCATGACCTAAAAATAGGGGTCGTCTATCCATAGGCGTGGATTTTTTAAAATAGTTTTCAAGGTCTAACCTTAGGCGTGGATTTTTTAAACTTGATTTTTGTGGAGTCTAACCTTAGGCGTGGATTTTTTAAACTTGATTTTTGTGGAGTCTAACCTTAGGCGCGGATTTTTTAAAATTCATTTTTTGGAGTCTAACCTTGGGCGTGGATTTTTTAAACTTCATTTTTTGGAGTCTAACCTTGGGCGTGGATTTTTTAAACTTCATTTTTTGGAGTCTAACCTTAGGCGTGGATTTTTTAAACATCATTTTTTGGAGTCTAACCTTAGGCGTGGATTTTTTAAAATTAATTTTTCAAGGTCTAACCTTAGGCGTGGATTTTTTAAAATTAATTTTTCAAGGTCTAACCTTAGGCGTGGATTTTTTAAAATTAATTTTTCAAGGTCTAACCTTAGGCGTGGATTTTTTAAAATTAATTTTTCAAGGTCTAACCTTAGGCGTGGATTTTTTAAAATTAATTTTTCAAGGTCTAACCTTAGGCGTGGATTTTTTAAAATTAATTTTTCAAGGTCTAACCTTAGGCGTGGATTTTTTAAAATTAATTTTTCAAGGTCTAACCTTAGGCGTGGATTTTTTAAAATTAATTTTTCAAGGTCTAACCTTAGGCGTGGATTTTTTAAACTTCATTTTTTGGAGTCTAACCTTAGGCGTGGATTTTTTAAACTTCCTTTTTTGGAGTCTAACCTTAGGCGTGGATTTTTTACACTTCATTTTTTGGAGTCTAACCTTAGGCGTGGATTTTTTAAACTTCATTTTTTGGAGTCTAACCTTAGGCGTGGATTTTTTAAAATTAATTTTTCAAGGTCTAACCTTAGGCGTGGATTTTTTAAAATTAATTTTTCAAGGTCTAACCTTAGGCGTGGATTTTTTAAAATTAATTTTTCAAGGTCTAACCTTAGGCGTGGATTTTTTAAAATTAATTTTTCAAGGTCTAACCTTAGGCGTGGATTTTTTAAAATTAATTTTTAAATTTAATTTTTCCTTTTGAACAAACATTTTTCTTTGAGTCTATCCCTCTGACAGGCTTTATCTTTTTTCTACTTCGAAGAAAAAAACTACATAAACAAATAAACACTTCAAGAACCCATCAGTTCCGATGTATATTCAACATTTTATGAGCCAATATAAAACTATAAAATTTATCAGTTAGATGGGCAGTTAGTAATTATTTCCATAATTTAAATTATAAGTAGAACAAACCAGGAGATCTTATCGGGTCGAACAACTGTTGAACCAGAAAAAAAAACAAAAATTAATCCTCTTAGAAATAATGACATGTAGATTTTTTTAGTTTTCAGAGATAAGGTTAGGTGGGAAAATAAGTTGAACGATAAGCTACTTAGTGTGAAAATAAATTGTGGGAACAGGAGGGGGAAGGTAAACAGTGACCTACCTAAATTAGGCAGGTAAATGATATGTCAAATAAATAATAGTGATAAGAACGTTTTAGTTAAGAATACCTAACCTGACCTAGTCAACAGGTTAGGTACCCTTTATTAATTTTAAAAAATCCCCACCTGAAAATAGACCCCAAAAAAATTTTCAGAAATCCACTACTGAAAGTAGACCCCAAAAAAAATATTTTCAGAAATCCACGCCTGAACGTAGACCCCAAAAGATTTATTTTCAGAAAACCAGGCCTCAATGTAGACCCCAAAAAATGATTTTTAAAAAATCCACGGCTGAAAATAAACCCCAAAAATTAATTTTCAGAAATCCACGCCCCCACGACCCCACGCCTGAAAGTAGGCCCCAAAAATTAATTTTCTGAAATCCACGACTGAAAATTGACTCCACGCCTGAAAGTAGACCCCAAAAGATTTATTTTCAGAAAATCACACCTGAAAGTAGAGCCCCAAAAATTTTATTTTCAGAAATCCACGACTGAAAATTGACCCCACGCCTGAAAGTAGGCCCCAAAAATTAATTTTCAGAAATCCACGACTGAAAATTGACCTTACGCCTGCAGGTAGACCCCAAAAATTAATTTTCAGAAATCCACGCCTGAAATTAGGCCCCAAAAATTAACTTTCAGAAATCCACGACTGAAAGTAGACCCCAAAAATTAATTTTCAGAAGTCCACGACTGAAAATAGACCCCACGCCTGAAAGTATACCCCAAAAAATTAATTTTCAGAAATCCACGCCTGAAAGTCGACCCCAGAAATTTATTTTCAGAAATCCACGCCTGAAAGTAGACCCCAAAAAATTATTTTCAGAAATCCACGCCTGAAAGTAGACCCCAAAAATTTATTTTCAGAAATACTTACTTACTTAGCTAGCCTGTGACAGAACTTTCGCTCCATAAGCCGAGATTAGAAAAGATTTCCATGCGCGTCGGTTTTTTGCGCAGTTTTTCCAATTTGAAAGACAATTTTCGGCAATGTTGTCTTCGTCTTGATCTTTCCATCGTATTCGTGGCCTTCCCTTCTGCGTGAACCACCAGCTGGTTCGCTTTTAAATGCCTTTTGGGCTGGTTAGGTCATTCTCACAACATGACCTAGCCAACGTAGTCGCTGCAGCTCAATACGTCTAATAATGTCGATGTCCGAGAATAGCTGGTACAACTCATGGTTCATTCGACGACGATATTCACCGTCAACGCAGATCGGCCCATACATCTTTCGGAGAATTTTTCTCTCAAACACTCTAAGAGCTGTCTCATCTGCTTGCGTAAGTACCCATGCTTCAGATTCGAATAACAGCACGTGTTGTAACAGCGTCTTGTAGAGTGTGAGTTTGGTCTGGCGGGAGGTGGCCTTGCTTTTGAGTTGTTTGCTCAGACCCTTCTCCGAATTCCTTCTCCGAATTTCAAAACTGATGTCATTCGTTTTGTTTATGGCGGTACCAAGGTATATAAAATCATTGACTACCTCGAAGCTGTAGATCTCAAGTTCCAAAGTTGGACGGAGTCTACTGGACGTCTTGGGCGTTGATACCATCAGCTTGGTCTTCTCACCGTTTACTGCCAGACCCACTTTGGCAGGCTCCTTCTCAATATGTTGAAATGTGGCTGTTACCGCTCTCAATTTTCGACCCATTATGTCGATGTCATCGGCATAGGCGAGTATCTGGTGTTGTTTGGTATACAGAGTGCCATTTCTGTTCACTTTTGCCTCTCGTATGACCTTTTCCAGCAGGATGTTAAAAAGGCCACACGACAAACCTACATCACCTTGTCTGAATCCTCGTTCGGTATTAAAGGGCACCGAAAGGTCCTTTAACTGCTGATCTTGTGCCAATTATAGTTATCCTGCATAGCCGAATTAATTTTGCAGGAATGTCGAAAGCGGTTTTATAGTCGACGATATGCCTGTTTTACCCGTTGGTAGAATATGGCTGTTTTACTCGTTGGTAGAATTTCGGACTTTTCAGAAATAGACCCCAAAAAATAATTTTAAAATCCAGGCCTAGGGTTAGACCCCAAAAAATGTATTTTTTATTTACAAAAATTCTTAAAATAGTTTTTCAACCCCTTCCCTCGTATTTTCCCTTGACCATATCCGCTGCCTTTTCCGCAATCATAATAGTGGGAGCATTAGTATTTCCTGTGGTAATATAAGGCATTATGGAGGCATCGACAACCCTTAAATTGTCCACACCTTTCACCAGCAACTGCGGATCCACACAGGTGCTTTCAGCCTCCACCGCTCCCATTCTCACTGAACCCGATTGATGATAGCAGGTACTGGAAAAATATTTAATATAACAACGCCAATATTCCTCCGATTTAAAACGTAGGCTATCACATTCCGCAATGGGTATGTGCATCAATTCCACGCCATTGCTTCGATAGGCCTTGCTATTTTCCAAGGCCATCATATAATCAATACCGGCCATTAACATATCCATATCATAGGGGTCTTGAAGATAACCCGATTCGATTATGGGTGGATCTGCAGGAGATTTTGATCTCACCTTCAATTGTCCCCTGGAGCGGGGATGCGACTGTACCACAAATTTGATCAGAATCGTATATTTTTCCAATTCTCCGAAAATGTGTTCCTGGAATTCTCGCTTCACTGTGAAGCCATTTAAGAGGGTCCTTAGACCATCCCGATTACCTCTGCGCACTAGAATGTGATGTATCTCCACATCTGGGTAGGGTGAAGAGGATTTTGCATCCGCTTTTATAAATCCTGTCAAGTGGGCCGTACCAATGCCACTTAGAGGCCCGGAATTGTTTGTCAAATATTGATAGGTGGCCGTGAGGCTATCCAAAGGGTTCGAAGGTGGGGCTGGTATACGGAAAAATATAATGGCTATCACGTGGTCTTGTAAATTTTTACCCACCGGTAAGTCATGGAGAAGGGGTATATTTAACGGCCTCAACACTTCGGAGGGTCCTATGCCGGAAAGCATTAGTAGCTTGGGGGAATCTATGGCCCCTGCGGAAAGTATGACCTCTCGTCCGACATTGACTTGGAGGGAAGATTTATTTTGCAGACGAAATTCCACAGTATTGACTTTCTTCCCCGACGAATCAAATTTCAACTTGGTGACCTGGGCATTTTTAATGATCTTGAGATTAGGACGTTCCGCCACCTTGGCCAGATAACTTTTCCCCGTACTCGAACGTTTGCCATTTGCCGTGGTGCCTCGAACATAGGTATAGCCGACATAACTCCCCTCCACAAAATCTTCCACCAGAGGTTGCTTCAATTCCTGGGCTCCCTGCAGTATCACCGCGTTGATATCCTCGGTGAACCTTCCAAAATGATTAAGGGCCACATAGCCTCTGGGGTGGCTGGCATTTCCTTGTGGCGTTATGGCTTTTGCGAAATATGGCAACACTTCATCATAACACCATCCTGCAGCACCCTCCTTACACCATAGATCATAATCACGGCGGGTTCCTCTAATAAACAACATGCCGTTCATGGCTCCCGTACCACCTATGGTGCGGCCACGGGGCCAATGGCAGCGTTCGCCCTCAAATGCCTGGCAGCTACAGCCACCATCAGGTTCGGTGAAGTAGCGATAGGAATGTGGGGTATGTTGCATCGAGAAGAATACATCGGGGATCTGAAAGGCAGGATAAAAAATTCTAAAATATTTCCCTCAAATTCCTATTAACCTAAAACTCACCTCCGACTCTGGTGGTGGATCTCCTCCCGCCTCCAAGACCAAAACTTTCCATTGCGGATTTTCACTTAAACGGCTAGCCATTATCGAACCTGCTGTGCCGGCTCCAATAACCACAAAATCATAAGGATCCTTGAGGCCATTCCGTCGAGCCTGATCGGCATAATCCTCAGGCCAAACCTCAGGACTTGAAACATTACATTGGGCGGATAGGATACCCTCAACCAAAAGCGATACCAGGGTATTAACAGCTCCCACACTTGGTATTGGACACTGGGCGGAACAAACTGCCGCATTAGCTGGCCCTGAGCCTGCCACACTTGTTAGCCACATTTCGAAGACTAAACAGATTTTGAATTTAAAATTTCAATAACCTACCGGTCGATGTGCTTTCAATTTCATGCGAATTGAAAGTAAACCAGCTTTTTGCGAATATTCAGGCTTTTGATTTATATATCGGACAGGGTAGAAAATAATCCAAAAAACAATAACAAAAAATATTTATTTAATTAAAAAAACAATAACAACAATACCAACAATTATTCTACATAGCCTTGTTAACACACTTTGTTGTTGTAAACCCGAATTCGGGCTATAACCTGCATAAACCCTCAGCGGCATTCGAAAATAATAAAAATATGTTTTTTTTACAAAATTTCAATTCAAAATCGTTCGGAGAGGGGTTGTAAATAATTTTTATAGGTTTACGACATTTTGTCAAAAATGTCGCAAATGTAAAAAACGTGTAAAAATCCTTTAAGACGTTAAAAAAATGAAAAATTTTAATTAAAATCGTTCGGAGAGGGTTTGTAAATAATTTTTTTAAGTTTACGACATTTTGTCGAAAATGTCAAAAAGGTGTCAAAAAACCTCTCAGGTGTTAAAAAATTAAATATTTCTATTAAAATAGTTTGGAGAGGGGTTGTATATAAATATTTTTAGGTTTACGACATTTTGTCACAAATGTCGCAAATGTCAAAAACGTCTAAAAAACCTCTCAGATGTTAAAAACACGAAAAAATGTAATTTAAATTGTTTGGTGAGGGGTTGTAAAATTTTTTTAGGTTTGCGTAATTTGGTCAACAATGTCGCAAATGTCAAAAATGTATAAAAAACTTATTAGATGTTTAAAAAATTAAACATTTTAGTTCAAATCGTCCCGAAAGGGGTTGTATATAATTTTTTTAAGTTTACGACAATGTGTCAAAAATGTCACATATGTCAAAAACGTCTAAAAACCTCTCACATTTTAAGTAAATGAAAATTTTCATGTTTAGAACACTTCTGGGACTTAGGGCAGTTTTATCATACATTTTTTAGGTTTACTACATTTTGTCAAAAATGTCGCAAATGTCGAAATCGTATAAAAACGTCTCAGATTTGAAGTTAATGGAAATTTCCACGTTTAGAACACTTCTGGGACTTAAGACAGTTTTGTCATACATTTTTTAGGTTTTCGACATTTTGTCACAAATGTTGCAAATGTCGTAAACATGTAAAAAACCTCCCAGATTTGAAATAAATTAAAATTTAGACGTCTTCGACATTTCCGGGGGTTTTCGACTAGTTTTTCATAATGTTTTTAGGTTTACGACATTTTTTCGAAAATGTCGCAAATGTCAAAAGAAGTGTAAAAACCCCTTTTAGAGGTTCAGAAAGGGGTTGTAAATATTTTTTTAGGTTTAGGACTTATTGTTAAAAATGTCGCAAGTGTCGAAAACATGTAAAAAAACTCCCAGATGTGAAATAAATGTCAAAAACGTGTAAAAAACCTCGTAGATGTTAAAAAAATGAAACATTTTAATTAAAATCCTTCGGAGAGGGTATTTTATATATTTTTTTAGGTTTATGACATTTTGTCAAAAATGTCGCAAATGTTAAAAACGTGTCAAAAACCTCTCAGATATGAAATAAATGGAAATTTAGTCGTCTAAGATACTTCTGGGGGTTTTCGACATGTTTTGTCAGAATGTTTTTAGGTTTACGACATTTTGTCGAAATTGTCGCAAATGTCAAAAGCGTGTAAAAACCCGTTTTAGATGTCAAACAAGTGAAACATTTTTTATTAAAATCGTTCGGAAAGGGGTTTTCGACATTTTGTCGAAAATGTCAAAATCGCATAAAAAACACGTTTAGAACGTTTAGAACACTTCTGTGGCCTACGACAAATTGTTCATAAATATTTTAGGTTTACGACAATTTGTCGAAAATGTCGCATATGTCAAAAACATGTAAAACTCTTCTCAGATGTTAAAAAAAGAAAACTTAGTACACTTCGGCAATACTGGGATTTAAAACAATTTTGTCACACAATTTTTAGGTTTACGACATATTGTCAAAAATGTCGCAAATGTCAAAAACGTGTAAAAAACCTCTAAGATTGTTAAAAAAAAGTGAAAATTTAGAGGACTACGAAACTTCTGTGACTTAAGACAATTTTTTTTATAAATTTTTTAGGTTTACGACATATTGTCAAAAATGTCATAAACGAGTAAAAAATCTCCCAGATGTGAAACAAATGAAAACTTAGGCGATATAACACTTCTGGGATTTGTGAAAATGTTTTTATAAAAAATTTAGGTTTACGACATTTTGTCGAAAATGTTGCAAATGTCAAAAACATGTAAAACTCCTCTCAGATATTAAGAAAAAATGAAAACTTAGAACACTTCGACAATTGTGGGATTTAAAACAAATTTGTCATACAGTTTTTGGGTTGACGACATATTGTTAAAAATGTCGCATATGTCAAATTTTGTCGAATATGTCAAAAACGTGTAAAAAACCTCTCAGATGTGAAACAAATGAAAACCTAGGCGATTATAACATCTCTGGGTTTAATGACAATGTTTTTATAAAAAAATAGGTTTACGACATTTTGTCGAAAATGTCGCAAATGTCAAAAACGTGTCAATGATGTTATTGAAATAAAAATGTTGACTTCTACATCAATTTTAGGGTTTGCAATTCGCAAATGGTGGCCAGAGCTATTTTCGGGATTTCCGAATTTAAAGGAGACATTTTGAAGGCATTTTTGATTCTCGGATCATTATTCTTCATGCTGCATACCTCACATAAATTTCGTTATTTTGCGGAACCTGACCTGGTAGGAATTCGAAAATAAACGTTGCTATTGGCCCCAAGCCGCAACATAGGTCTGGAGCCATTAATGTCATATTGTTTAAAATTAATTTTTTGGGGTATAACCTTAGGCGTGGATTTTTTAAAATTAAATTTTCAAGGTCTGACCTTAGGTGTGGATTTTTTTAAAATAAATTTGTGAGTTGGTTTATTTTGCTATTTACCCTGAATGGATATATTTATTCAATTAATTTCTTTATCTTATTTTTTCATTTCTTTACAGGTAATTTTTATTCTGACTCATCATTGCAAGTGGAACCAGATTTCCGAACAAAACCTGTTATAAATTGAAAACATGTAAGTCTTTTGAATATTATTTTCCCTCAGCCCTCATCCCACTCTTGCTTAATAAAATCCGCTGCCCTTTCTCCAATCATCAACGTTGGGCCATAAGTATTACATCTCGTTATCTGCGGCATTATGGATGCATCTGCCACCCTCAAGTTCCGTACACCCTTCACTTTGAGTTGGGGATCCACACAGGCCGAGCTGTCATTTGTTGCTCCCATTTTTATGGTACCCACCAAATGGCTACTAGTCGAAGAATAATACGAAATATAGCATGGCCAATATTGTTCGGCATCTTCCGAACATTCCGCTATGGGGACCCGCAACATTTTAGCCTTTCTGCGCAGAAAGGTGGAGGTTTTTGCCAGGCGTTTGAGATATTTTATCCCTCCCAAAAGTCCCTCTACATCTTCCTGTCGTTGTAGATAATTTGGATAGATTAGAAGAGGATCCTCAGGACCGGAGGATTGTAATTGAATTTTTTCCCTCGACTTGGGTTGGAGTAGTAAAATAAACACCACAACCACATCGCCTTGGTCTACCAGATTTTCGAAATATTTTTTCAAATTTTCATTGGCCATAAAACCCGCGAGGAACCCCATTCCCAAGGGGGCACCACGGCGCACGGTAAAGTGTTGTAGTTGCAGGTCAGGATAGGGACATTTTGATTTGGTATCTGATTTAATAAAACCATTCAAGGACCCCGTGCCAATGGATGCTAAAAATCCCTTTCGAAATTTCAAATAATCATAAATATCCTGCAGATCCAGAGAGGTCCTTTCCGAGGGTATGGAGAAGAATATGGGTATGGCCACATGGTCCTGTAAATTTTCTCCAATTGGTAAATTGTGGCGAACTGGTATTTTCAGTGGCTCTAAAACCTCTTTAGGACCTATCCCTGAGAGCATCAGAAGTCTGGCTGATTCCACGGTGCCGGCTGACAAAATAGCTTCCCTTCCTACTTTGACCTTAAAGGATTTTTTTATCTTGCAGTTGGAACTCCACTTCTTCGACCCGATCTCCCTTTTCGTTGAACAACAATTTGCGAACCTGGGCATTTTTCACCACCTTTAAATTGTTCCTGAACTTGGTAACTCTTCCCAAAAACCCCTTGGCACTGCTGCTACGTTGGCCTCTCTCCAGAATGCCACGAAAATTGCCATAAACCAGATAACTGTTTTCCACAAAATCGGTAATCCTTTTCACACCCAATTCCTCCGCTCCTTTGGAAAAGAGTCCCTTAATATCCTCAGCATAGTTGCCATATTCCTCCAAACTTATATACCCTGTGGGATGGGTCAAATTCCCCTCATTTCGAAAAGATTTTTCAAAATAAGGCCACACATCTTCATAACACCAATTTGCGGCTCCTCCTGCACCACACCACCCATCATAGTCCGCACGGGTTCCACGAAAATACAGCATGGCATTAATGGCTCCCGAGCCACCCAAACATTTGCCACTCAGCCAGCCACAATTTCCCAAAGGAGCCGACCGGCAAGACACCCCATTGGCCACTGCTCTATAGGTGTAAGTATAATTCGAGGCCTGGACCGAGGTGAAGAGAAAGGGGATCTGGAAAAAAATATCCCCAGAATTTATTTCCCTTACTCAAGAAGAACAAATACCAACTCACCTCCGACTCCATGGGGGGATCGGGGCCAGCCTCCAGCAGCAAAACTCGCCACAAAGGATTTTCACTTAAACGGCTGGCCACCACCGAACCCGCAGAACCTCCACCAATTACCACAAAATCAAAGCCAGCTACCTCCTCATTTGTGAGATCTCCTGCAGAATCCTCTGGCCACATATCCTTAGTGGAAATCTCACATTGATCCTTGTAGAGGCTCTCCATTAAAAGGGCCATGAAAAAAATTCATAGCACCCAAACTGGCTACGGAACATTGTGGCGAACAGGTGTTATTCGTTGTTGGTGTTGTTGTTGTTGTGAATGCTAACAAAGACATTTTTGTAATGAGAATTGAAAAAATATTTTTTAATAAATCCCGTAGGCCAAGGTGTGCGGAGCTCTAAAAAAAATTTGTATTTTTATTGTTGATTTTGTCGGGTGGTCTATAAATTTGTTTCAATTTATCGGGGTAATTAAAGACGATAAAAATTTATTGTTTAACGATTTGGTGTCTTATACACTCAGAGAAAAAATAAAAAGAATAGGGTGCTCGAAGGACCAAATGTTTTCTCGAGTGTTCCTTGAAAATTTTTTTCCTTGAGTGTATTTAAAAAAAAATCATGGCCTACACGAAAGAAAACCAAACCCTCCTAATGTTGACGCCCCCCGCAAACGTATAAAGGACCACGATCTGCGAATCTGCACTTGGAATGTGCGCACGTTGTACAGAACAGGAGCAGTGTCCGCTTTGGAGGATGTACTCAAGAATTACAAAGACGATATTATTGCCATACAGGAAAATTCAGCCTCCATGAAGAAACATCCGACAACGGCATGAGGTCGATTGACTTCGCGGCAGTAGAAAACGTGGTAGTTGGCATCACCAGATTCAAGCATCTCGATATACACAAGGCCATATGGATTTCTCCCGATCGAACAACGAGAAATCAAATCGATCATGTTGTGCGCACGTTGTACAGAACAGGCCGATATTATTGCCTTTTAGGAAATGCGATGGAAAGGGACTGGACTGGTAAGTAAATCGGATGATTACGCCCTGTATTATAGCTGTCATGAAAGTGAGACGTGAATTTGGCTGCGGATTTATGGTTAACAGGAGAATAAAAGACCTCGTCTCCAGATTCACTCCTGTAGATGGGCGAATTGCTATAATCCGTATAAAAGCGAAGTTCTTCTCTACATCAGTCTCATTTGCGCCCATGGTCCGACCGAAGATAAAGATGAACAGACCAAAGACATATTTTACGAGTGCCTAGAAACAGCACATGATCGTTGCCCTGGCAATGACATTAAAATTCTGCTAGGATATTTTAATGCAAAAATCGGAAGGGAAAATATCTTTGTCCCCACCGTCGAAAAATTCAGCCTCCATGAAGAAACATCAGACAACGGTATGAGGTTGATTGACTTCGCGGCAGCAAAAAATATGGTAGTTAGCAGCACCAGATCCAAGCATCTCGATATACACAAGGCCACTTGGATTTCTCCCGATCGCACAACGAAAAATCAAATCGATCATGTTGTGATAGATGAGGAAGGCATTCATCCAGTGTTTTAGACGTCCGATCGATCCTTTTTAACATCCTGCTGGAAAAGGTCATACGAGAGGTAAAAGTGAACAGAAATAACACTCTGTACACCAAACAACACCAGTTACTCGCCTACGCCGATAACATCGATATAATGGGTCGAACATTGAGAGCGGTAACAGCCACCTTTGAACAAATTGAGAAGGAGGCTGCGAAAGTGGGTCTGGCAGAAAACGGCGAGAAGACCAAGTTGATGGTATCAACGCGCAAGGCCTCCAGTAGACTCGGACCAACTAAGGAACTTGAGAACTACAGCTTCGAGGTAGTCAAAGATTGTATATACCTTGGTACCGCCATAAACAAAACGAATGTCACCAGTTTTGAAATTCGGAGAAGGATAGTGATGGCCAACCGATGCTTCTATGGTCTGAGCAAACAACTCAAAAGCAAGGTCAGCTCCCGCCAGACCAAACTCACACTCTACAAGACGCTGATACTACCCGTGCTTTTATATGTATGTGAAGCATGGGTACTTACGCAAGCAGATGAGGCAGCTCTTGGGGTGTTTGGGAGAAAAATTCTCCGAAAGATCTACGTTGATCTGCGTTGACGTTGAATATCGTCGGAGCGAATATCGATTCGGACCAGCCAAGGTACGTACCCGTCTTACTGTAGCAGCAAAGGTGCGGTCTAATGTATCACGGATATTTGACGTCGAAAAGCTGCAAACACAACAGATAACAGAAGCCTACTCCGCTCAACATATCCAACTGCTTGGCGAAAGCACCCCTTGTCCCGATATATACCCAAGGCCACTTGGGTATATATATATATATATCTCCCGATCGAACAACGAGAAATCAAATCGATCATGTTGTGATAGACGAGGAAGGCATTCATCCAGTGTTTTAGACGTCCGATCGATCCGGGGAGCGAATATCGATTCGGACCATTACCTTGTGGCAGCCAAGGTACGCACCCGTCTTAATATAGCAGCAAAGGTGCGATCTAACACAACACGGAAACTCGACGTCGAAAAGCTGCAAACACAACAGATAGCAGAAGCCTACTTCGCTCAACTTACCCAACTGCTTGACGAAAGCACCCCTTGTCCCGATAATAATATAGAAGCACAATGACAGAGAATTGCCCACTCCCTACAAACTGCAGTAAAACCAACACTTGCCGAACCAAAGGCCACCATTAAGAAATCCGTGGTACGATCAGCAGTGTCGTAATGCTACTGATATGAAAAACGCAGTGTATAGGACAACCCTGCGAACAGTAGCAACACATAATGCGATGGAGAATTATCGGGAGAAAAGGAGAGAGGAGAAACGAAGAAGAGAGGAGAAAAAAAGAAGAAATTTTTGGTGTCTAACCTTAGGCGTGGATTTTTTAAACTTCATTTTTTGGAGACTAACCTTAGGCGTGGATTTTTTAAAATTTTTTGGAGACTAACCTTAGGCGTGGATTTTTTAAGATTCATTTTTTGTGTCTAACCTTAGGCGTGGATTTTTTAAGATTCATTTTTGGTGTCTAACCTTAGGCGTGGATTTTTTAAACTTCATTTTTTGGAGACCAACCTTAGGCGTGGATTTTTTAAACTTCATTTTTTGGAGACTAACCTTAGGCGTGGATTTTTTAAACTTAATTTTTTGGAGACTAACCTTAGGCGTGGATTTTTTAAATTAATTTTTTCAGGGACTACCTGTTAGCATAACCTTTGTCATATTTATTCTATTTTTTAATTATATAACAATTGAATTTATTTAACTAAATTAATCGCTCTCTTATGTGTGTGCGTGTATGTTTATCTGTTTCTGTTTTGTTGTTGTTATATATCTTTTACAAATAAAATACAATTAATTGTCGTTAATTATATTTCAACAATGAAAAGTGCAAACGATAACATTTTTTGTTGCTGGTATACATCAAACGGCTTTGTGTTTTAACTCAATAAGAACAACAACAACAAAACTCCAACAAATAAATGTCAATTAATTGACAAGGCACGAGTTCATGTTAACTGTAATTTATCCGCTTATTGTCAAGTTCATTAAACTAATAGAGTTAGGGGGTAGGGAAGAAGAAAAAATATTTTTAAAAAATCCAAGCCTAAAGATAGGCATTGAAAAATCCAAGCCTTGGGATAGGTATTGAAAAATCCAAGCCTTGGGATAGGCATTGAAAAAATAATCTTAAAAAATCCACGCCTTGGGATAGGCATTGAAAAAATATTCTTAAAAAATCCACGCCTTGGGATAGGCATTGAAAAAATATTCTTAAAAAATCCACGCCTTGGGATAGGCATTGAAAAAATATTCTTTAAAAATCCACGCCTTGGGATAGGCATTGAAAAAATATTCTTAAAAAATCCAAGCCTAAAAATAGGCATTGAAAAAATATTCTTAAAAAATCCACGCCTAAAGATAGGCATTGAAATAATAGTCTTAAAAAATCCACGCCTTGGGATAGGCATTGAAAAAATATTCTTACAAAATCCACGCCTTGGAATAGGCATTGAAAAAATATTCTTAAAAAACCCACGCCTTGGGATAGGCATTGAAAAAATATTCTTAAAAAATCCACGCCTTGGGAAAGGCATTGAAAAAATCCACGCCTTGGGATAGGCATTGAAAAAATATTCTTAAAAAATCCATGCCTTGGGATAGGCATTGAAAAAATATTCTTAAAAAATCCACGCCTTGGGATAGGCATTGAAAAAATATTCTGAAAAAATCCACGCCTTGGAATAGGCATTGAAAAAATATTCTTAAAAAATCCACGCCTAAAGATAGGCATTGAAAAAATATTCTGAAAAAATCCACGCCTTGGGATAGGCATTGAAAAAATATTTTGAAAAAAATCCACGCCTAAAGATAGGCATTGAAAAAATATTCTTAAAAAATCCACGCCTAAAGATAGGCATTGAAAAATATTCTTAAAAAAATCCACGCCTAAAGATAGGCATTGAAAAAATATTCTTAAAAAATCCATGCCTTTGGATAGGCATTGAAAAAATAATCTGAAAAAATATTCTTAAAAAATCCACGCCTTGGGATAGGCATTGAAAAAAACATTCTGAAAAAATCCACGCCTTGGGATAGGCATTGGGAAAATATTCTTAAAAATCCACTCTTAAGGTAATGCTCCGAAAAACTGGAAAATTCAACGATAACAACTTCCGCCATATTTAAAGAAAAATCAGTCATTTATTTAAGTAGCACCCGATTTATTTCCTTTCATCTTAAACGACTACGTCACACTTTTTTTTTGTAACTCTTATCACTTGTCCGGCCTGTGTATATACATTTTCATTTAACTTTTTTGGTCATGAGGTCTATTACCTCTGGCAGTGTATCAATCAGCAGGAGAAGAACGAAGGAGGCGAAGAAAACAAGCACTAAACTCAGCATGCAAATCACAGGCCACTGTTCATATTGGCACGCATTGTCTGTACGGGACGTGGAGATTCAAGCATGCCAGCAGCATTTATGAAATCGGTACCTCGCCTTAACAGCGAATCGATCAAAGCTGAAAGGGGAAGGGAAACAAGAAATTAGGAAAGGTTCGGAATTTATTTTTTTAAGAAAATTGTCCTGCTTACCATCTTCAATATCACTTTGACTGGCATCATCATCATCGGTTTGTCGTGTCTTTAATTTGTGACCT